ATTGACTACATCCAAGCTTCTGGAATGAAATGTTCCGAAGACATGGTGAAATCAATTCGAGATGGAAAGTCGATCGACTTCAATGCGATCGCTCCAACATTGAATGCTCCAACTCAAACTGAAGCTGATGCAAGAGAAAAAACAGAGATGGCTCAAAACAAGATTCTCTATTCTGCAAAGCTCGGCAAGAACATGCGAAGATCAGCCTACTTCGAAACGAACAAGAGAACTGTCAAATCAAACATCATGCTTAAGTTTGTGACAAAAGCAATGGATATCAAGCTTTGAGGCGAAGCCGATTTCACGACTACTCTTGAAGATCCAATCGAACTCTTAAAACATATTGAACGATTCATGAAGAAGAGTGCTGATGCTGAGTATGACTTCTTAGATTTCTGGGACGCCAATCAAAAGTTCTTTGCTATGAAGCAAGGAACAACCAAAAACTTGATGCATTTCAAGGAACGATTCTTGAGATAGGCTGAAGTCCTGCAAGATCTATATGGCGTTGCCTGGTTCCAAAATTTTGCAGTCAAGACAAAAGCGTATGCTGCCATTGCTAGCACCGATACTATTGCTAAAGACAAGTTCAAGGATGATATCTTTGAAGCAGTTCTTGCAACAGGATTCCTGTGCAACTGTGATCGAACGAGAACAGCTCCTCTGATGCTGGATCTTCAGAAAACTACTGCAGGGAAGTGGATTATTATCCAAAGACGGTCAGTAAAGCACAAAATATGTTGAAGATTCACATGGATGTGATCAAGAATCCGGGAGTGAACCTTTACCAAGGAAAAGACCAGCCAAATAAAGGTAAAGGTAAACAGAAGGACGATAAGAAAAAGGCGGCATGTTATGTATGTGGCAAAGAGGACCATATGTCTCCAAAATGCCCAGACAGACTGCTACCAGAGAGTCAATGGAAGCATCCGAAACACTATGTTGATTACGGGAAGAAGCTCAATCTTAATCAGATTGGAGCAACTGTCCCAACTACAGCTACAGTTCCTGGGACTTCTCCAGCGACAAGTGTTATCACTGGTGGAACATCGAGTGTTGCGGGAAGCGTTAACACACCTTTGCGACTTGCTGGTACTACAGGTAATCAAATGATGCAAGTTCCTTCGGGAATGCAGCTCATGCAGATTCCAACTCAAGGTGGCGGCACTGTTACTGTCCCTTATTCTATGAATGCTAACGGTGAGATTGCGTTCAGTGGAATGCAACTCAGCCAACATGGCTTCACTGGTGCTCAAGTGCGCCAAGGATTGGATGCAACTCAAGCTCGAACTCCGCAAGTTGTGAAGACTGGCTATATTTTATAAAAATCAAAAATCAAAAACTAAAAGGTAGAAAATATTTTTCCTCACTCTTCTCCAAAACAAAACTGTACCAGTCCTACGCGTTTTGTACGTACAGGAAAACAGTTGTTGTCGTTGAAACAGGAATTAAATTTAAGCCAACATGAAGGATAGCATCATCAACCCGCCGGAGAAGGACCCAAATTCGATCATGACTGTAGCTGACCAAGGTCAGGGAGGTCTCAAGGAAAAAAAACGATCAAATTCGACCACTCCATTGTCGATTGCTCTGACAAAGGACAATCCTGCCATCACGACTCCCAAGCGCATCAGCAAGCGAAACCCTTCAAAAACCGCCGAGGATGGCGCAATGAAAGGTCGCTCGCTCCTCCCATCTGAAGTGGCCCAAGGTCAGTTTGGCCTCACGGCCAAAGCTCGATCGAACACCAGTCCCTCGTCGATCGATCTCACCAAAGATAATCCTGATCCCACGATTACCAAGAGTCAACGCAAGCAACCCCCCCTTCCAAAACCGCCGAGGATGGCGCAGTGCAAGGACGGCCGCTCGTTGCCTACAACAAGAACCTCAAGGTGTCCAAGTTCCACAGGCTCTACAAGAAGGCGTGGAGGAAAGAGGTTTTTGGAAACCAGGCATTTATTACTTGGTCTTCTCGCACGGCGGAATACTCTGGTCGGGCAATCTCCAAATGCCCTGGCTGGTGGGCCGATGTCAACATGGATCCATCTTCCGACGCCCAAACCTACGACG